AGAAACATTCGTTGATAACAATTTGAAACTTTGAGTTATCAAAACGTCAAGTTGCCGCTACTCAAAAGTTATTCCTTTTTACTTTTAAAATAATAAAGTCAACTCCTCGTTTAAAGTTTCTGTAAACCGACAACGCGTAAAAATGTTAAGATTTAATTAAAATACCTGAAACATATTTTTTTAGTATGCATAATTATAAAAAGACATTCGCATTATATCGAACGTGTTCAGAAGTTTTAACAAAAAATTCAATAGATGGCGCAGATTCATAAATTTCAAAGGCCGGCAACAATGACTTTTTTGCGTTTATGAATGGTTATTCTCTGCTGTGACCATAGTCACGTGACCTTCACGCATGCGCGTTGCATACTTTTTGTGACGTCACAACCAACAACCAAGATTTAAGGAATAGTAGCGCATGCGTGGTGCGTGTGGGGCGCATTCATTGCTTTACAAAGGCGTGCGGTCCGTGTATAGTATATGTGAATGTATATTTATGTTAGCCGTTTTTTTACAAACTTTTATTTTATTATTGAATCTTAATAAACGCGTTTGTACATTTTATGTCAAGCAAAGCCTTTTTGCCTATATGGACTGCACGCCACTGGACATAACAGAATCATCACTCCTATCATTAATTCTTAGTAAAGCTACAACCGTGACCCCGAGTATGATGGTACATAACTCATACATAAGCCTTCCTGCTGGTACAACAAAAAACTGCGACCTTGAAAAAGAATTTTCAAATGAATTCTTAAAAAATATTAACAAATTCTAATGAACATTATTATGATGACAATCGTTTCTAACGTTGACTAACCGCACTTATTTTTTTATATTGGTACGCTTTATATTCATACTCAGTTTCAATAGGTAATAAAAATATATTATAAGCTAGTCTACATTGAGATTACTATTAAAGTATTAACAATTACGTTACACGAGAAAATCTAGCAGAAGAAAAACTTCTGTCTTCTCATTTAGTACTGACATGAAGTTATGTGCCCTCCTACAGCTGAACTGAAACATATATCTACCCCTCACGAGACCCAAAAAGGCTTTCAGGTCTCTGAACTATCTCGTGATCTAGACAAGGACATTATAGATATCAATACTAAGAAATGATATAAGCAATATTTCACCAACAACATTAACAGCCCATGGACTTTAAACTACTGAAATATAAACTCTCCATGATAGGTATCCCAATCCCTGAATCCCCAAAAATCCTCAAATTCCTAATCCCAAAAGGCTGGTAACCCACTTGCAACGCCTCTGGCGTTCCAGGTGTCCATGGGCGACGCCGATTGCTTACCATCCGGTGATCCATATGCTCGTTTACCGGCTTATACCATAAAAAAATAGGTCCAAAGTGTCCATGCTTGGCGGGTAGGTTGAAGAAGTTTAAAGGGTAGAAGCACCCTCAATCGACAAGTATGCATGAAGAGGTTCATGAATGTAGATGAAGCGAGAGGTATGCCAGAATCGTGTCATTTGGCGTTCTATCTCTGCCTAGTTCAATTGGAGACAGACGTGACGATGTATATGTAATTATGTATGTATAAAAAAGGTTCCGATCAGAGATCGCTGCTATTAAATGTACAACTAGTATTTTAAGCCAACACAATAGAAAAGACATTAGTACTTACATACAAGTAAGGTTCCATGAACACTTCATAGATGTTGCTCTGATAGTCTTCGATGGCTGGTAACGTCTTGATGAGCAGGTTCCTTCCATACCCTGGTATCCCCTGAATAGTCTTCCCATTCAACGCGGCCAGTAACCAGAGGAACTGGCCAAAAAACACATGTAACCTCAAATTCATTTTTTAATAGACGTTTTAAAAAAAATGTTTGAAATAGTGTCAGTTGAGTTTTTGTTTTTAGTTTTAACGCGTGTGAACTTGCCAAGCGGCTAGGTATCAATGATTTGAGTGCTTACTGTAAGACTGCAAATGATGTTCTTTTTTAGAGTTCCGTCAGTCATTTGCGGTAAGCTATTTGTATGATGGTCCGTGGTATGTTGGAATTTCGCGAGTTATTTTTATGTCTGACTTTATACAAAACTAATTAATTATAAGACCTCTAATTTATTCTATCATTACACCTTTTCTAGTGTTTGTATTGGGTGGGCGTAGGAATTACATACAATTAAATACATTACTAAAATAACCATATCATGAACGGGCTCGTCCCCTGTTATTGAATTGGTATTTCATAAATAGCGAAAAGAATATGTGAACTCTAATTAGATAGACCTAATTTCCTGTCTTCTAGTCCTCATCCTGATCGCTTTCCGATTCCTGATCGCTTCGTATGCAATCGTAAGTTGCAAGTATTTTACAGAACCTAAAGTAAACCCTTACATGGGACTCATAATATAAATAGTAAAAAATGGGTGTTACTTCTGTGTGCATCTCTCGCTCCCCCTTCGGGGATAAAAGGCGTGGTGTTATGTTATGTTATGCTAAAGTTTCAATTTTGTGGTGTTATGTTATGTATCAAGACTATGAACACAGAAAAGAAAAATACTATGACTATTAAAAACTACAACATTGATGTTATTTCGTTTCGTCTGTGCTTTTTACACACTGCAATATCATGAACTTTACTACTTACGTACGGAACCATACCTCCAGAAACAAACTACCAGAAGATTTTCCTAATAAATAGTTTTTAGCAAAGATACGGCGGATTGTCATGAGTGGTGTAACCCAAGGCTCTATGATATAACCGTGCGCTAATCACAGTTTCGCCACGGCATTGTCCCGCCTGGAAGAAGGCAGCTTCTTGAAAACTCGTGCCGTATATGTTCAACGCTCATTAATTCCGAAGGTTGATTATGAATGCCATATTAACCTCTTATAATGTTAAGATCTTTAATTAAAATTGTTTTGAAGTAATTTTACATTGTTGTGTACTTGGGTCCGTCATTTGATTGTCATTTGATAACAAGTTATTTTGTAACAAAAACTGAATGTTGTTGGGTCGGTTATGGTATGGGAGATGTCATGCAAGACGGGGAAGTTCATCTTGTTATAAAATCTCAAAGTCAAAGTCAAAGTCAAAATCATTTATTTCAATTAGACCAGGAAGGCACTTTTGAACAAATTCTCGATTGTTATCATCAAAACTTATAATAAAACTAGTTTCTGCGAGCGGTTTCGCTCTCGTTCCTGTGGGTTAAAAAGTAGAATGTAGCCAATTATCATCCCGATCTATCCAGCCGTTTTGACGTGAAGGAGTAATAAACATACACGCATACAGACAAACTGACAAAATTTCGCATTTATAACATTAGAGATTTAGTTTGTTTGAACACGCTAACGGGGGTTCGATATTTTTTGCTTCTGGTGGTTCTTGATGAAGATCTGAGCACTATCTGATCTAGTTAAGTACTCAATTACACGCGACGAGCACGCGAGAGAAACCCCAAAAGTAATCGAGAAAATTGATTGAGATATGAGTGGATTCTCGTGTTTGTTACTATGTACATATTTTACACTGCCTCGTTGGCCGCGTGGTCGGTATTGCGACTGCCAGGCAAGGGGTCTCGTGTTCGATCCCCGGGTCCGGCAAAGAATTACTGAACTTTAAAAAAATCTCAGTAGTAGCACGGAGTCTGGAATCGTGCCCGGTATATGGCAATAGGCTCACCATCTATTACATGGGACTCATAACATAAATCGTGAAAAGTGAGTGTTACATTGTAATAGTGGCAGTCGGGGATAAAAAGGCGTGATGTACATATTTTAAGATATTTTTTTGGTGACGGGGAAAGTCTTCAAATGGTGACTACTTTTAAGCGACTTCAAAAAAGGTACAAAATAATCTGTTTGACCTGTATGTATGTTTAGGAACCGATTTTGCTTCAGTTTTCAAAAAAGTGTTCGTTACATATAGCAGAAGGTTTTGATATACTTAATAATGTACCGAATTAAAAAAGGGGGTTGAAGTCGGTTTTCTTAAACTTAGTTTATAATTGGGGAAAATAGGAATGATGACGGGGTACGAAAATTAAAAATATAATTACTCCGTAAATTAGGCAATGAAAAAATATTAGACACGTATTTTTTTATTTTGTCGTGAAAGAAAACAATACTTAGATATATAAAACTAATCAAAGTTTAGGAGTGGGAGGAAGCTACATTATTTTAGAGTATAAATCGTACTCAAAAGGGAGGTCTTGCGGTATTTAAAATCAATATTTAAATTGTTTTATACTTTCTAAATTCTTCAGCACCTGAAAGAGGGTGCTTAAGGGCATTTTCACCAACCTCTCCTCCTCTCAAATTTTAGGAAGCCCATAAGCAATGACAGTCGACATTTTGGTTTACACCAACCACTAAGTGACACCTAATAGTACAAATAACGGGTTAGTTTAGTGCTACGACACGCTAAGTTACTTTTCGTTAAGAGATGGTAGGTGAAACCGGTCATTAGTCCCTTAAATATATCCGCTTTACATTCTCTGGGAAGATAAAAAATCTCGATTGAAAGACTCGTACACAAAATTGTGATGCGACGTCGCATCACAATAATATGCGAGCCCCTCTACGCATCGCAAGAACTTGCGAATTGATTTGGATTGCGCATCAAAATCTTCTCTTCCCAAAATCTTCTTTGTTTCTTTTTCCTTTCCTGTATCTTCTAAGCAATAAAAAAAGTGCACACTTCTTTTTACGATCCATGTCACGACCTAGTTTTCAATTTAAAATACGTTTAGTATGGTTGTCGGTCATCGAAGGAATGATTACCCTGGGAGACGCCTTGTCACACGAAATCGCTTCGCACAAATTCGCATCGTAATTTTTTGCGTTGCGAATTCGCATCGCAGTTTTGCGTACAGCCTAAATTGGCTGTTTCTTTTTAACCATAAACTACAAAAATATTAAAACAACCTAGCTGTCTGTTTGACGTAGGTATGGAAAAAAGTATAAATATTATTGACTGCTCCAGTTATAGTGACATTGTCAAGCCTCATGAATAAATATCTTTTCGAAAGACGGAGATAGTCCAGCAAAGATGAAGTTGTGATGAATCGGAATTTTGTGTTTAACCATCAGGTAAATAAATCAATAGATATTACGTTAATAAGGATACAACATTATGTTACCATTTTCCTAATTAAGGAAACAGACAGATATTCTACAAACCAAACCTACGTTTGTGTTACGACATTATCAACAACAAAAGCCTCTAAAGGATCTGAATGTAGTTTGAGGACATCCTTGATGGTATAATCTAGACAACAATATTCGGATGCATCTTGAATAACTTTTTGGGCAGTTCATTTTGAATAGATTTTGCGTTTAAACTTATCATGAGCACAAACCCATGTTTAGAAGAGGTAAACTTATTGTGCACTATTATAGTGATTGTCAAAGTGCATAGGTATAGTTATTTTTAATAAAATTATACTTACAAAATATTGTGAATATAAACTTGGCAGAAAGGTAAGATATGACTTATCTTTTCAATAGACTTCCAAAAAAAGGAGGAGGTTCTCATCTAATACTTTATTCCTATTCTAATAATGAACGCGGTTTTTGCACGCATGTTGAAATGATCTCATAATCTGTCTGATAATGACTGTTATGATTTTGCAACCGTTAACCGTTGCAACGTTAATGACACTTTATCAAGTTAAGACATTTTTCTATTTTTCTCTTGTCCTTATCCCAAAGCTACTTACGGTCGGCCAAGGAGTCGGCATAATATTGTCTTTTTTCCATGCATTTACGCACTCTTTTCACTCTCATATCGTACAATATAATCAACTTATCTTTGGTTTGTCGTTGTAAATTGAGATAATAGGTGACTCATAAATTTAGTTTTCTCCCTTGACATTATAGGATAGGCCGAGTGCATGGTCGAGGACTGCGAGCACCCTGAACAGGTGGCTGTGGGGGGCTCTCTGTTGTGGGGTTCCTGGGGTGCCGTGCTACTTCTGCACCTGCTGCGAGAGACTTGAGGATGGAGGCCCCGAGAGAGAGAGACCCAGAGTTAATCGTGAGTTGAACTTTGTCAACATTATTGAACCTTCAAAAAAAAATAGCGTATAGGTGCCACCTTTCCGTTGGTGATAACAAAACTGTCGCTAAGTGTCGCCTATCTTAGCTGAAGGGTTCCCTTAAAATTTAAAAATGGAAAAGAGCATAGTTCTTCTTTGTCCGGCAACGAATCTGTATTTTCTGTTGCGGATGTGAAAGTTAAAGTTAAAGCATTTATTTCCATTAATCCTTTATAAGGCACTTTTGAAACGTCAAAAATTTAATTTTCCGTTAGTCTGTCTGTCAGAGAAGCTAGACGCTCGTTCCAAAATGTAGTTTCGAATAGAGAAGAACGAGAAAGAATCTCCATCAATGTCCATTGGTGGTGGTATTAGCTTACCATCGGATGACCCATTTTGACCCCATAAAAAAGAAACGAATGAAACTTAAATCTTTCTTTAAAAAATCTGTGAAAAGAACAGTTAGGTAGGCAGTCACTGTTAAGTAAAATAATAGTATTCAATCTAAAATGATTGGCGAACATGTAATTGCAACGTTTATGGAGAACACAAGCACTGAGTCAGATCTTATCGTGAGCTGCGCATCATTGAACTATAACATTGATAAATTGCTAACAAAGGAGCTTGACTGGTTTCACGATTTACTAAATGATTTCCTGACGTTACAGTGAAAAATCAATTCTGTTTTGATAATTTGTATGCACGGACGTGTTCAGTGTAATGTCAGCCTAACACACACTCTGACAGACAGACCGATAGATTGACACATGAGACGATTTTGTGGGTATTGTTTTGATGAAGATGTTCTGACTTATTTTTTTTATCAACCATTTGAGTTTTGAATTTAAAATTGCACCTGTTCTTTTACTGTAGTAATTCATTGAGATTCGTGTCTCTAGAAACAAATAAATAATCACTGTAAGGTCGACCGAAAGTAAAATTAATATTTTCTTTCTTATCTTTTTTGGCATTTTTGTTACTGGTACTTTATTCATTAAAGTCTAATTTTGAGCTCGTTTACCTACTCTATTTCTTTCATACAAACAGAATCTACGGCCACAGCCGACCGCATGGTGCGGCCACATCGTCCACACGCGCCGCGCGGACGCAAGCACACGCCAGAAACACTGTCAGCCGTCCGATGTGCACTGACGCAGCTCCAGGGAGAACCTGGGGTACCATCCCCTACTGTCCCACCAGAATACTCCCGACATTCTCCCGAACCAGGTTGAAAATATATAGAAACATATGCAAGCCAATAACTGAGGAAATCCAGGATTTGAACTGGATTTTTCGGCTTAGAATTAGGATTATTACAAGCATTTTAGTATAACTTAGACTTTTGAGGGCATTACTCACTTGTTACAGTGGGTCAATATACATTTGTCCATGTTCACAACAATTATTGACCTTTTTGTCTTCAGATAATACTTCAGGCTTATTGTCATCTGATTTTTCAGAAAAAAGGTACCTATTTGGTGTCGTAAATTGTCATTTAGGGCTTCAAATACTTGCCTTTTTCGTAACTGTTCATCATCATCAGCCCGTATTCGTCCACTGCTGGACATAGGCTTCTCCAATAGCACGCCACTGAGCTCGGTCTTCAGCTCTTCTCATCCAACCACTGCCAGCAACCTTGCGGATGTCGTCACTCCACTTAGCTGGAGGGCGCCCTACACTACGTTTGTCTAGACGCGGTCTCCACTCTAGAGCACGTTTACCCCAATAGTTATCGGTTCTTCGACAAATGTGACCGGCCCACGGCCACTTCAGCTTACTGATCCTTTGGTCTATGTCGATAACGTTGGTTCTCTGTCGGATCACTTCGTTTCGGATTCGATCCTTCAAAGTACCTGTTCGTTCGTTCTGTTGTAAAGTTCTGTTCTTCGTAACTGTTACCATTATGATACAAACTTCATGTTTCAGATCATTATACAAGGTATAGTTTTGAAACCGTGTCATTTCTCGGGGGCATGTCACAGAAGTCATAAAGGTTCAATGTAAGAGAAAATTTCGGGCCAATAGTTTAAAATACGGCTATAATAAATCGTTTAAGTTCGACAGTATTTCAGAATAAGCGACAGCAATGTTTCTTATTGGAGTTTTATGGAATTAGGAATAATATCAATCACGTGTTTGAGTTTGTGTGTGTTAACTCGTCGAGTACCGTCATTATAGACACAATTGTAGAACAATAGGTTGCAGTCACCGGTGACCGCTTGGTGTTTGACAGTTTAAGCCGCGTTATAAAGCTAGTTACAAGACGGCGGCGTGTACTTCGCACTAACGGATTTCCGTAATTTCGGAACTATGATGGGATTGAGAACGACACGAACGAAAATATTTACCTACATTTTTTTTATTGATTCGGACTCAGAATCGATATCCGAGTTACCTCCTAGAAAATGACGCGGCTTTAAAACAACACCTTGTATAGAAGATCATCCTAATAGGAATAGTCCTATGACATCTTACAAAGTTAATGTTATTTCCATAAGTTTATTGAGTTAGTTGTAAATAAATGTTTTCAAAAACGTAATAATTTCCAGAGATCCATCATGAGGTGATATTTTAGTTTTTTCGAAAACGTCCGCGTGATTTAGTGTATATTCCTTTGTTTAGTTATATTAATTAAGGATTGGTATAATTTGTATGCTCTGCCTTCGAAGGATGAATAGCATACAATGTGTTATTTTCATACGTTAATCATTGTACAGTGTGTTTATATATTTTGTATTCTTCTACTTTGTTATAAATAAAGATAAATTGTAAAGAAAAACTTTGGGTATCCCGTTTTTTTTCGGAGAGTGTGACAGAGCCGATTACAATAGGGAGTAAGGCCACAGCAGTGTGTTGTACTGTCGCGGAGAACCTAACGGGTAACCGGGGCTCCGGCTCGACGTGCAGGAGAAGGAACGGGGTGGTTTTTAGTCAGTAAGAGTCTGACACTCCCTTCCGCCTCACCCAGGCGGGAACAGTCATTCGATGATTTTCCCCCCTTAAAAAAAAAAAAGTGTGTTGTACTAGGCGCGATTTGGTATAAATTGAGATACTTGAATACAGTGGTAAAATCTGCCATCCCTCGCTGACGTGACGGGGCGCCTAAACTAAGGAACATAATTTGCCCATGTGGTCGTAGACCTAAATCAAATAAACATAATAGAGTCTGATAACAACACTCTGTGATAAACTTAATCCTCTTTTTAAGTACTACTACTGCCATCTGGTCTATTGAACTTATAAATAAAGATGTTTTTTAATCAAACAGTGAGTGTTAAGTTATCGCCTGTGGGTATAACACAAACACGCGCATTATAGTTACTCACTATAAGCATAGATGGCGGTAAACTATAATAAATTTGTATCACTTTAGTCCTCTGAGCTGAAGGAATAGATTTAAAGTTGTTTATGTATTCTATCAGTTCCGTGTCCTACGTACATTAATGGAAAATTATTTTGAAATGTTTGGCATGTCTCCTTTTTGGCACATCTTGGCAAATCTTCTTTAATCTTTGAAATACCATTTTATTCGTCCATGACACCATGAAAGATTCTAAAACATTAAACTTATTTAACCGACTTCAAAAATGGAGGAGGTTCTCAATTAGATCGTATACATGTTTTTTGTACTTTAAGGTTAAAAATGGTTAATTTGGAAACAACTTTAGCGAGAAAAAGTTGAATGCGAATCACTGCGAAATATTATTCTACGAGGACACTTCATCACCAAAATTAAGTAACGACTCAGTATTTTGTGTAAACGAAACTCCTGATAAGATAATTTTCTTACATCAGTTATCTCTTAGATTCACAGCATCGCATCAGTTTTTAGAAGTCAGTAATGTAGGTCAGGTGCAACAAGAAAGCATTAGCTATTAAAATCCTTTTAAACTGACATTGACAATCTTAGTACGTTCCTCCATGGTCAGCACTTAATAAAGGTCATTGCATGTCACGTCTAAGATTGTATTCTAGCAGTTGGTGTAGTGCCTCAGTTAAGAACAGTTAATTAGTGCCTCTATTTTATCTGTGGCGAAAAAAGGTAAGATGACAGTTTGATTTTTTTTTGTTTTCTTTTTTTTATGCTTCGGTTACTTTTTGTATTATGCCTATTTTCACGTGTTACATATTATGAGATTACATTTGCTTCTGTAATATTTTTGTCATGATTGCGGGTTTAAATTGGTCAAAATTAGGATGTTAAAATTGACACCTATCTGTATGTCTGTGGTTCCGTAAGTAGCTTCTGAATAAATTGAGTGCGTTTTTTTTTATTCGGAAGACTTGTCTATTGAGGTGCGATGGTTCTTAGTTATGTTTTATGAAAACCGGATCACTCGTTTAAGAACTACAAGATTTTTTTCAAAGAAGTACATGTTTTTTTAGGTTTAACCAATGGAATGATTTGATCAAAGTTTTTGGCTGTTTATTTATAAACCATTTAAGCTAGTTGGCTGAAACTAGCAACCTATACGACGCGGTACTAAATAACTTCAATAAGGATAAACAATTCATAATCTACCGATCTCATTATCCTTTGTTAGTCACTCACGTGTATTACTTTTTATATCTACCTACCAATGATGATAAACAAGGAAGGAAGGTAGCAAGGACTTTTCTGTTTCGTGTTTAATGTGCTGATGGACTGTAGGTACTCGCAAAACATTTTGATGGTTAGTCATTTAAAAATATCATTTAATTTTGATCATTCACAAAAAAGATATCAAGTGAATTGAAAGTCTCTTTTATGCAGCACGGTGTCTGAATTACATAATTATTATGTCCTGTGTATGGATCAATATCTACTTAGGAACTCAGTTTAGTGTACCTAACCTATGGAGAAAGATATAGGCCAGTTCACGCGGCCAAAGCTAGTACTTAACTATAATTCACTTAGGAGTACAGAAACGGGGCCACTACCGTCTTTTCTTGTTATCGAACCCTCTATAATTAAAAAAAAAACTTTTTAACCGACTTCTGTAACGATGCTGTCATTCTAAATTTGCCTTTTATACGACTCTTTTTTTAACTCGTCGAGTACCGTCATTATAGACACAATTATAGAACAATAGGTTGCGGTCACCGGTGACCGCTTGGTGTTTGACAGTTTAAGGGGGGAAAATCATCGAATGACTGCTCCTGTCTGGGTGAGGCGGGAGGGAGTGACAGACTCTTACTGAACTGGCTAAAAACCACCCCGTTCCTTCTCCTGCACGTGGAGCCGGAGCCCCGGTTACCCGTTAGGTTCTCTTAATAAAATACTGGTATCAGAAAATATTTACCAAGAAATAAATAAAAGAAAATACCACGATCAACCATCAGAAACCTAAGTGTACTTAACTAAAATGTTGTTTACCACTCCCCAATATGTCATGGTAATTGCTTTATTTACCAATACGGTAACCTTTGGTTTCCTGTCTTATCAATTGAGCATATTACCTTCGATACGCAAACAACCAATTCCGGAACGAATCTGTAGGCCACACATGTGTTTGTTCCGGTAACCGAATCCCCGGTTTATAGCGGAGTACCTACAATAAAGTACATACATAAGAGGATGGCATTTTATGTGGTTATTAGCTATTGCGCCGTTCCACTCGCTCTGCTCGGCGCCTATTGATCGTAGCGTGATGTTTTATAGCCTATAGCCTTCCTCGATAAATGGACTATTCATCACATAAAGATTTTCTGAAATCAGACCCGTAGTTCCTGAGATTAGCGCGTTCAAACGAACAAACAAACTATTCAGCTTTAAATAATAGTATATATAAGATTTATTTGTCAGTCTGCAGCAGCCACGATTAATTCATTTATTGCTCCATCATGTGGACACAATTCCAGACTCCTTGGTAAATAATGCTTATTAATCTTCGTAATCCGAAAACTTCCAATAAGTCGAACCTCATGCTTAGCAGTTGCACTTGCGATTAGTTGATCAAGAGGCAGTCTTAATAAAGACATAGTTATGCCATTATTTTGTACGGAGCTTACGTACATGTCAAAACGTACAGATAGGTAGAGTATAACCAGGGCTGCGGCGGACGACCTTCCGGGATACTGAGGCTCTGCCGCTCTGGCTCGTAGCAGTAGGAACGGGGAGTCAAAAGTCTGATGCTTCTTGTTGCCTCACTCAAGGCAGAAGAAGTCATTTGACGTTTTGCCCGCCTTAAAAAACTATAGGTTATTGGAACTGGTCGTTAGTCAAAGTTCTAAATCTATCTAAGATCTGCAGCATTAAGTTGCTCTCTACCTCTAGAAATTAATCTACATTGGAGCGTTGCGTTCCATTGCGCAAGTCTAGTTGCTAGTAAGCTAGTTACTGGGTCAAGTTTATCAACAAGTAGTCGTTAGATCTGTTTGTACATAAGAGGGCAATGTACGCCGCGGGCTAGTATTTCATATGTAGGTAATATATTATGTATGTACTCCCATCACTTATTGGACAAATAGCGTTGTCAAATCCTTTCTACACAGTGAAATCAATTTCGTTTTCGCAGCAAAAAAAAACTTGCCGTAAGGAGGACTTTCGGTGTATAAAGTAAAAACAAATAAAGATGTCATTTTTTTTATTAAAAAAAAAATTCAGCGGTATACGTATATACACATGAAACATTAAAGGTAAATTTGTAGGCACTTTGTATGTAAGCACTATTCGCATCGCACGTGCCACCCGACGAGAAATACCTCTTCGAGATTTACATCATAGCGTGTTGTTTTGATAATTTACTATGAGTTCGTCGAAGTTTACTTTTTTGCAATGGTTCACCAGATATTTTTCATTTTAAACATTTTATTTCTTTGTAAAACTATTGTGTTACCAGGACAGAACCAGATCAATAATAGATTTCACGGTGTGTAACGTGCTTGTCAAACCCAGAATTTAAAGATTAGGTACTGGCATTTCGGGGGTTGAAAGGTATCTTATTCTTAAGAAAATTAAGTTCATTGAATAATAATACTGATATGAATGAGCCAAATCTACAATTTTATCGCCAATTCTCTTTTTACTTATAATAATTTTAAACTGTTCGGTTAATTCAAGAAAAGTTATTCACAGTTCGTAGGATTTTTTCCAATATCGTTGTTATGTTTACTAACACATAATTTCAGATATTATGTACCTGATGTTTTATCTGATTTACAATATAGCTTAGAAACACATTTTTATCTTGACCTACAAGGCTACAACGCATGTTCACTGAGGCTGCAAACAACCGCAAGAATAGGGTACATGCGTAATTTTTATTTTAATGTCCATCTGGTAGATTATTTCAAATCATTAGACACGTATTTTTTATTTTCTTACAGAAACGAATACTTTCGACGATACATTGATTTGAAATGTCGCGTGACGTCACTTCTATGTACATTTTATAATACGTAGAAATGACGTTTTAGCCCACACTCCTAATTTTTTATTCGTTTTATCTAAAGTATGTTTTATTTTACGGGAAAATAAAACAATACGTGTCTAATATTTTTTTCATTGCCTAACTTACGGACTCTAATTACTAATTACCTACCGGGGCTCTGGCTCTAATTAGAAGTTTGAAGGGGTGGTTTTTATTCAATAAAAATCTGATATCTCATCTCACCCAGAGCCAGAAGAGCTATTTAATAATTTCCCCCCATAAAAGCCATTTTTAACTGCTGCAAAACAGCTCTAAATTATGAGACATTGTGTCAAGGCCTTATGCCCCAGTGAACCAGCCGGACTGGTGACAATGTCCTGGTGACCTTGGGGACGGGAGCAACGAGCTGATGGTAGCTATTTATAGCACGTATGAGGACACTGGTCTCTGAGGTATTGGGCAGTTATGTGGGGCATTAAATTCTCTAAATAAAATTGAATCAGGTGTCAACCGATGTAAGTTATTAATAAATGTGACTCAGTTTGATTTTTTAAATAAGAAACATGTGCAAACAGTGCTTGGCGACTGGGCTTCTCCCAGTTGTACAGTCTCTCTTTTGTGCATTTAGGCTTAATTCGTTCGGTCACCTGCAGTAATTTACCGAGGGAAGTGGAAACTAGTTTTTTTCCTTCTCCTCTTATAATATCTTCTGATTCACTTCGTTGCGGGAACCAACATAGTTTTACTTTTTCATGTCCCTGGGACGCGCCGGACTTCAGTGTTCCGGTGTTTTCATGGTTGTATCTACTGTAGATCCTGGCTTACAGGAGTTGCAGCGGTTTTGGGGGAATGTGGCAGCCTTGTCACTATAAAAAAAAATAAGAACCATGTGATGGTTACCGGAGGTTTAATCATCCGCTCTATCCCAGAATCCCTAAAAGGCCGACAACGCGCTTGTAACACGTCTAGTGTTGCGGGTGTCTATGGCCGGCGCTGATTGCTGACTTGTCTCGCTCATTTGACGCCATTGGACGCCATGCTATAAAAAGTACAAGAACGAGTTTGCTTATTTCTTGCACGTTCATACAGTTGCTGTTGAATGATTTTTATCTATTTTGATAAGTCTTTAATAACGACGGTTTTTGGAAGGAAAAGAAACATAAAATGGCGGTGAAACGCATTAAAATTGTTAATTAGTTGTTAGTTAGTGCTAGTTCTTTACGCCCGCGCGGTTTCTCCAACTGTTCTACTCCTATTGATTGTAACCTGATATTTTATAGCCTTTTATATCTTCTTCGTCGAATGGATTATTAAACGCAAAATATTTTCAAAAATTGAAACTGAGTTTTAGAGATTAACGAGTAAGTAAGTAAACAAACCAATAAAACCGTCAGTAAATACAAATCACTGCATAGTATAAAACAAAGTCGCTATCCGCCGTCTGTCTGTCCCTATGTATGCTTAGACCTTTAAAACTGTCGCGGAGAACCTAACGGGTAACCGGGGCTCCGGCTCGACGTGCAGGAGAAGGGACGGGGTGGTTTTTAGTCAGTAAGAGTCTGACACTCCCTCCCGCCTCACCCAGGCATCATCATCATCAGGCATCATCATCATTCGATGATTTTTCCCCCTTAAAAAAAGACCTTTAAAATTACGCAACGGATTTTGATGCGGTTTTTTTTAATAGAT